ATACTTATTAACAGATAATTAAACGCCAGTTACATAAATTTCAATCGATTAGTGTATTTTGCGTATATTTTGTTATATTTTTCAACCTAATCCCTTCCGTTGTTAATACTTTTAGTTCAGGGATCGATATTAATCGCACAGATCGAACATTATACAGTGAAAGTGGTGACGTTTTGGGAAGAAGAAAAAATATAACAAATCTTCTTTTCTGGTATACTTGCTCATTGTTCGCCATCTTGAAAATGTCTTCTCAATAGCAGGTCTACATGGAAGATGAGAAGGGAAGTGAGGGCGATCTTGATTAAGTCACTTGTAAGCGGTTAATGGGAGTTGAAGAGAACGAGAAAACTTTAGTGAGGAGAAGATGGCGAATGACGTTACATTTAAATTTTTGAAGATTGTAGGTGACAAGGAAGCAAGAAGAGAATTCTAGAGATGAGAAGTGCGGGAAAATAAACAATTAGAATAGAAATTACGATTACATCTAGCTATTTCAGCAGCAAAACGATGGGACCTAGTAGCCAATCTAGTAGTACGCTTAATTTCACGAGGTTGAGGTATGAAAGAGGAAAGCTTATTAGAACAACAGCCATGAAAATATTTATAGAAAAGACAGAGGGAAACAACATCACGGCGGTGAGAATGTGACTGAATTCAAAATATCAGATCAAGATAGATGACAATATTACGGACCTTTCTTAAGGATTTTGTCAAGAATTAAGAGATACATATAGTCGGAGCAACAAACCAGATATGACAGTAATATTCAATGCACGGACGAATGGTAGATTTATAAATGTATAAGATGGATACCGACGAGAAAAAATTGTCTTACAAAAATTAAAAAAAAAAAAAAAAAAAAAAAAAGAGAACCAAACTTCTTGGAAGCCTATTTCGTAATTTTTTATTTCATTTTTATTCGGTTCGTGATTTTATTTCAAATTTTTTTTTCCGATTTAAAAAAAAATTCCCTCGACAAATTTGATAAAAAATAAATAATAATAAATAATAAAATAATACATAGAAAACGACAAATTTTACTCGTTATACAGAATGTCCATAAAGTTCGTGTGCACTTTAAAAAATTTGTAACTTTATTTGTATTTGCGATAGAAATAATCTGTAAAAAATGTTATAAAGTTTAATGTACCTAGTTTTAAGTATAGCTAAAATAACTAATGTGATTTCAGGCATTACTGTAAATCAGTTGCCAAATGTTTTTTTCCGTGAACTGCAAAATCGAATTACCCTTTGTATTGCTAATGATGGAGGGCATGTGGAAACTTAAATAAAATAGATTTCCTTCTTTCTAATCCTTTTTACAAATTATTTCTATCGCAAATACAAATAAAGTTATAAATTCCTTAAAGTGCACACGAAATTTATGGACACCCTGTATTTGTGAAAATATTTTTCATATTTTTAACAAACAGGATTGGTATAAAATTAGTTAGTTCGACTTTTAACTAATATAAAGAGATTTGGATACGTGTCTATAATGATTCATGTTTCTTGGAAAAACTGAAATTTTAAATGTTAAGAATGTTACTTTGGCATTTATGTCGTATGTGCAAAAGTTGCAAAAATATTTTTTAACTAAAAAACTTTTTCAACTTGTTGTTTACGCAACTTAGTTAAGTTTGGTACAAGGCCAAATTATAGAGCACCCTTTGAGCATCGAACTTACTTTACAATAGTAGTCGTCTATACAGACAAGTTCGTTCACCATTTCTCTATGTGAATTGACCTACGGTTATCAGTTTATTCATTCTGTAGTTTAAAAAGGAAAAAAAACAGTGCTGGAAAGTTTTGCACACACACAGACAATATATATATATATATATATATATATATATATATATATATATATATATATATATATATATACAAGGTTAAATTACTGTTTTTGAAATACAAACTTCCCGTGATTTCTCTCGAACGCTCATATCTGCTCGAAGCGTATCTTAACGTAAGCAGATTTCATACTGTATTATGAAATGGACAAAGTCCGAAAATTATTTTAATATATTTTTTGTTTAGACGTAATTATTATAGATACAAATATATAAATATTTTGGGCTGTTTATAATAAACAGTATTAATAACATTTACTGGCCTGAATGTCCGAGACATTACAAAGAAAATATGTCCTCCGACACAAATTTGTATATATATATATATATATATATATATATATATATATATATATATATATATATGTATCCTTAATTGTTTAATAACTATTGTATATATAAGTTTATCTTTTACCTCTTCTTTAGTATTTAGTTGACTCCCGGTGATGAAAAATATAAATGGATTTAATTTTGTCACGTCTGATGACTAGTTTCTCTTAAACCTGCTTTTTTGTTTTTGCATTTAGTATTCAGGACAAATAGCTTTTCGTCAGACCGTCAGTATTCTTTATTTATTACTTGAAGAAATAACATCTGCCATTGTGAAGTCATAACTTGCTAACATTTGTTCCGATCTTTCTTTCAATCGTTAAGTATATGGGACTTTATGAAAAAAAGGTCAAATGTCTACCTTCTGAGAATAAACTTATGATTTTCAATTAATAATATATCCTAAAGAAAATTAAACAAAAAGGATTCTATTTCCAGAGTAAATACAATACTTTTAAAATATCTGCCATTGTTATGTTTCGTTTTTTGTCCTTTCTTTAATATTAAAAATGTCGGAATACTTCTGTGAGCGCCATCTTTCTTTTCTTCTTTATCTTCGTTGCTCCGATTTTTTAAATGCATACAACAAATACAGCAAGAAAAAAGAAAAGAAAAGAGAATTATAAAATATACGAACCTTTATTTCGTTCTTTTTCTTTATGGTAAGTTATCTTAATTTCTGCTATTCAGTTACCCGAGCCGACCACAAAAAAAAGATTATATTCCATGAATATGAATAGTCAGACAACGTCTAAATATTCGTGGGTATCGTTCTTTGGACTTTTCACTCTTATCATCCTGTTTGCCTTACCCAGCGAAGGAGGTGAGCTATTTGGGGACAAAATAGTGTTTCGAAACTATTCGGTTTAAAAAAGTAGCAATATAGCGGAAGTTGATGATTTTAAAGTACGCTTTTACACTAATTATTCACTTTAAAACAGTTAGGAGTGATAATATTTTGTACTTTAACTTTCACAGTGAATATGCTAGCGAAAATCAAATGGATAAGAAATGATAGTTTGCTTACTGGAATTAAAATAAGTGTAGAGTTATATAAATAAATACAGGAGAAATTACAACGAATGTTGAGCAAACGTTAGGGGTTTTTGATGGCAGCTAAAAAAATTTGGATTGGTTGAAAGGCGTTGCACTCTTTATTCTACAAACTTTTTATCCGAAATATTTCTATGATTGAAAAAGCATTTTAATGATTTTCAAGAATGGCTGATAAAACATTTGAATTAAGTGTGAAATTAATCAACACTCATATACCCAATGTTTCTCTTTCATGAATGTACATACATACATACATATATACATACATACATACATATATGTATATATGTATATATATATATATATATATATATATATGGTTGGATAGATGTGATCTACCCAACCATATATGTTAGCTCTATCTCTGATATTGAGCGCATTCTAATAAGTACCGCGCATATAATATGTAAATAATTATACATATATATATTTATTTATATTTATATACATTTTTCACACACACATATATATGTCTGTGTGTGTATGTGTGTGTGATTGCGCGTGTGTGTATATATATGTATATATGTGTATATTATGCGTATGTATATCTATGTGTATGCCTATATATATGTATGTGTGCATATATATATGGATATTTATATCTATGTATAAATATGTATGTATATACATATATGTAGGTGTACATATATATGTATGTGTATATACATAGGTATGTATATATATATGCATGTATATATTTTATATATGTATGTCTATGCATGTATATATATGTGTGTATATATATTTATGTGTGTATATATATGTATATGCGTATATACTTATGTATATATATCTGTATGCATATATATATATATATATATATATATATATATATATATATATATATATATATAGTTACCAAATTGAGTTACATAATGAAAAAAATGGCATGTAACGCGTTACGCCCTTTAAAAGGACCTCATGTGATTAAAGTAATGTTTTTATAGATAGAATTTTATATTTTTTTATATAGGAGGTGGCTGGAATATTCAAATATTCCACCTTTCTCTTACATATATAATTATAATTTATATTTATAATCATTTTGCATTTTCTCATTCACTTTATATTCTTCTGTTATATATAAAATGATATATCAGATTCACACAAACGCATACACACATATATATATTAACTATATATATATATTTTTATATATATATATATACTTTGCGCAATCTTCAGATGCTGAGGGATATTACACTGAAAACATTTCAAAATCGTTACACAATTGCAGTCGTTTTCCGATGCGTATTGATGTATGTCATCATCACCTATATATATATATATATATATATATATATATATATATATATATATATATATATATATATATATATGTGTGTGTGTGTGTGTGTGTGTATTAGTGTAGAAGTTTTGGGCGCTTTCTGTTTTGAAATTGAAAAGGAGACACTGAATGCAGTTGAACGAAGCTTATTAATTGATTTCATAATAAAATCTCTAGAAACATTTGTCCATACCTACTTAACTTATAAATATAAGCGGTATCTAGTCGTTCTAGAGTAATGCCCATGATTATAAGGAAATTATTGCTTGTTAATTTTATCGTTTCTGCCTTAATCTGACACCATAATCAAGTATTTTATGTTTGATACGTACATTTAAGAAGGCTGTTGAAGACATCAAAGTTTCGAATCGCCTTATTTGAATTTAAAATTATCAAACAATATTTTACTTAGACTGAAGTAGATGACCAACTCTGTATTTCTACGGTTTTAGAAAAAAAAAAAAACATTGCTC